AGGGCCAGGGCCAAAGTGGGAGCTGAAGGTCCCAGAGAGGGTACCACAGCTAATGGATGAAGGATCTGGCTGAGTCTAGCTGCCTGAGATGCCATCTGCAAGGCTTGGGCCGCAGCGTAGGAGCTGTGAAGATCTTCCTAAACATTGGGGTTCAAAACGGGCAGCCTCCCACCTGATTAACATCCTCAATACTATTATATCAAGGCATGGCAGGTGAGTGAGGTGGGTGGCTGGCCCATAGGAGGCTGGCTGGTGCTTGCACTGGCCATGAAAGTTTGCCCCTGTTGCAGATATGAGAGGAGGTTAAGATATGGGAGACCAGGGTATTGAAAGTAGATCTAGAACAGCGGTCTCCAAAGCTTTTTGATTGCGCAACCCTATCAGTAAAAAAATGTTGAACACACACCCCCAATATATGTATATTTATATAAATATAAATAGAAGTTCTAATATTTTCTTCCCACACTCCAGTGGATCTTCTTGCACACCCCCTGGGGTGCGCGCACCCCACTTTGGAGACCACTGATCTAGATCAAGATCAAGGAAAAGGCCAAGGTAACAATGCAATTAAATCAAGAATCAAAGAGTTTAGAACATCATTTTAAGGATGTTCCTCATGTTCATCAGAACATGTCCTATATTTTGAGGTATTTAGAAGGAGAAAGCTGTGATGAATTTGGATTTTAAATTTCTGAAGGCAGGCAGAGCAAGTGTATGTTTAGAGTTGCTGGTAGTGTAAAAAATGATGCATTCAATACAGTTTGAGTTGAACTAATAGGGTAAATTAAAAAAATAAAGATACACTGGCCAAAAAAAGCAAGTGTGTACCCATGAAAAAGAAGGCAGTCATTTGAATGTTGCCTCATAGAAAAGGCATCTGGGAATTTAAATGGAATAACTAAGAAAGATTGGTAAAAGTAGTAGCATTTCAGGAAAGAAACAGATGTTTGTCTATCTGTGATGTCCATCTAAAAGGATTGAAATGGCCAATTTTAATTGTTATACTTGGAGAAAAATTGGATGAGTGAGAAATAGTAATTGTCAGAAATAGCATTTTAATAACTTCCTCTAATAAAGCAGGTTTTGTGCTGTTGGTAGATTGAAACGCAAACTGAAGCTGGTCCAATATGTTCTTATCAAAGTTAATATAGAAAGAGAGGGAAACATACTGTCTCAAGTACTATGTTGAAAGAAACACAAAATTGAGACAAGAAAAATGTTAAAGTCAGAGGACAAATGTGATAGGGTGTTAGATACATTTACCATTCCAGAGTGACTTTAATCTACTATCTATGCTTTTATGCTTTTGGAAAATGATACTAGGTTGATAAATTTAGAAATCACTCAGCTGTTTCCAAATACACTTTTAAAAATATAAAAAGTTCTTTGTATCGTGACCAATATCATTTAAGCCAGTAAAACATACTCACTTTTTACTGTTTCATTGTTCATGCAAACAAAGGACTTTGAAATCATTTTCTCTCCAACATAGATATGGGTCCTAATTATGTCTTTCGTATTCATGTTGAATAGTACTTTGTCCCATAAGTTCGTAATAGATTACTTGTGTTAGTAAGTTCCTACTAAAGTGAATAAGGCAGACAGGATTAGGCTTTTTGTTACTCCAGTTTGATATTGTGCAGTAGCCAAATTCATTCCTGGTGTAACTCCAGTGAAGCCAGTGATATTGCACTGGGAATGAATTTGGCTCAGTCATTCTTGTATTCTATTAGTGTCTCTAACTTCAGAACTTCTGTTGAAAATTACTCAACTTCTGCTATAGAACTGGTAATTATAGCTGCCACCAATAGCAACCACTATAATTAATATTGTAAAGCTGTCGGTTATAACCCTGTTTTCACTCAGTTGCAACTTCTGAAAAATAATCCTTTTACATGTTTGGTCTCAGTCCAAAGATAAAGTATTTTTATCTTGAACATGACTTGAAGAAAAATCCCTCTCACTGTTTTAATTAATATGATAAATACTTTAATTTTAAAAAAAAAAAAAGCACCTTTATTTTTAGAGCTGTATTATATTCTTTTTCATAGAATTAGCACATCCTTGCAGCTGGGCAACTTTGTTCTGGTTCTGAATTGTCTTTGAGGATGGCTCATTGTAGAGCATACTGGCCTGAACAGTTGGACAATGCCAGTGAGATCCTACTTAATGAGGATTTGCTGAAGCTGTTTAGTCAAATGCATATATAAAACAACTGCTTATGGACACAGGTGTTATCTTTTGAATCCATGGTGAATCAGAGCGCAAGGATATGTTTGTGACAAAGGATGCAGTTCTTAATAATGCATGGCAGATGCTGAAGCTTCTAACACAACTTCTGGATGTTTGCATCTATAAAACACCCTCATCTCTGATCATCTCTGTTGATCATAGTCAGCTTACTGCCTCAGTCAGACACTAGGAAAACAGTTTTAAGAGATGCATCATGGAAGCCTTATAAAAAGACAACGTATGTCATCTGTAAACTGGTGGCATTACAACCCAAGTGGCCCTTTGTATCATTATATTCTTTTATTACTTAAGAGTCTTGAGAGAAATATGAATAAGCATCCAACATTGTCTCAGATATCTCCAAGGAAAAGATGGAACTTCTGAAATGAGATCCTGGGATCCTTTTCTGCCAGGCTACTGTTGAACAACAAAATAAAAGCTGATACTATAAATGTCAGCCTGAACAACTCACTACTGTTAAATAGTAGCAGCTAACAAAACAAGCACAATCTCTGTATCTTGTGCTTATTGAACTGTATCTTATCTGAGGTTAAACAAGGACAATTGCAAAGTCCTGCACTTAGGATGGAATAATCCCATATATCAATACAGGCTGGGGGCTGACTGGCTGGGCAGCAGATCTGCAGAAAAGGACCTGGGGGTTGTAGTGGGCCAGTAGGGGGTGCTCCTGCTCTGAGCCACCCACCTCACTGCAACTAACCACCTTCCAGGCTCCGAGTTCCTCCCTGGGGATGCCTCACATCCGGCCAACCCCCTTCCTTGAGCACACCTGCAAGCCTGGGGGTAGTGCTGCCACCACCCAGGGTCTGGACTAATTTTGGCCCTGTGCCCCCTGTGAACACAGAGGCCTAGTAGTCCTTGAGGTGCACTTGACATACTGCAAGAACTTGGGATGCTTCCCTCAATCTGAAGCACCCTTAGTCAGATGAACCAAGGGGACCCCAAGGCATAAATTCTAGACCCTCTCCCAATAAGTCTCCCATGCTGGGTACAGAGGAGAACTGTATTGGTTACAAGGAGGAGGTTTGGAATAGGGTACAAGGTAGAGCAATATCAGAGAAATACCTTAGAACAAACAGTGGCATGGTAGCCTTTGATCATTTATCTGAGTTACTGCAAGCATTATATCTAGTTAGATCTCAAGTAGCTTATTCACAGGTATCATCCAGAGGCAGGTGGAGATTCCCTCTGGAGGCAGGCAGTTCATTGAACATGAGTTTCAAGACAGAGAGTGAGTTTCAGATGGTCAAACTTCTCTGAGACTCTTCATCATGGCTGCTGCCCCTCTTCTGGGCAGCTTTTACCTTATATAAACCTTATGACCTCATTTACCTGATCAAGTGAAGGTCAGCAGTTGTTGCCTGCCAGCCATCCAATTTGAAATGCATTGCTGGTTGCTGGGTAGACTGGCAGGGTCTCCAGCCCCTCCCAGTCTTGCTGACATTGCTTAGAACAATAGGGAGTGTAAGCCGCCCCCCCCCCATGTGTGTGAGGCCAGTCATGTAGACAGAAGGAGCAGGTTTCCCCCTGCCTCAGGAATGTATCCAGCTCAGGCTACAACTCAGGATTACCTAAAGCCAATGGGGCCAGGGGTGTCTGCCCTTTGTAGTGATCATGGTAACCAAATTATCAGGTAGGTAATTAGCCTGATAGCAGAGTTTGGGGAGAGACAGAGATGGCATTCTGCTGCAGGGGTTACAGTGGACAATAAGCTGAATATGAACCAGTAGTGTGCCCTTGTTGTAAAGGAGGTTAATGGCATACTGGGCTGCATCAGTAAGAGTCTTGCCAGCAGGTCAAGGGAAGTGATTATTTCCTTCTATTCAGCGCTAGTGAGGCCACATCTGGAGTACTGTGTTCAGTTTTGGACCCCCTACTATAGAAAGGATGTGGACAAATTGGAGAGGGTACAGTAGAGGGCAACAAAAATGATCAGGGGACTGGGGACATGACTAAGGAAAAACTGAAAGAACTGGGCTTATGTAGTCTAGAGAAGAGAAGACTGAGAGAGGATTTAATAGCAGTCTTCAACTACCTAAAGGGGAGTTTGAAAGACGTTGAAACTAAACTGTTCTCAGTGGCGGTAGATGACAGAACAAGGAGCAATGTTCTCAAGTTGCAGCAAGGGAAGTTTTAAGTTAGAAGAATTTTCTCATTAGGAGGGTAGTAAAATACTGAAACAGGTTACCCAGAGAGGTGGTAGATCTCCATCCTTGGAGGTTTTTAAGACCCAGCTAGACAAAGGTTTGGCTGGGATGATCTAGTTTGGGATTGTCCTGCCTTGAGCGCAGGGTTAGACTAGATGACCTCCTGAAGTCCCTTTCAACCCTAATTTTCTATGATTATGTTTATATGACACTTCCTTAAAATGATCATATAATTTTGATATTATTATGATTGTGCATATGGCCATGGATGCTTGCAATTTCAAGAAGCTATTTTACTTTTTCTGAGAGAATGTGCCCCTTTCCCCTGTTTGACAGCAGCTTTTGATTTCAGCCCACATCTGGCCAAATTACTGTTGCCATAGCAGAGGGTTGTACAGTTGTGTCTTTAGTCTTCTCATTTTTGTGTCAGTGGGTAATGAATGACAGAATACTATCAGATCTAATAATTTATGGACAGTAGTAAAAGGAAAAAAAAACCTTGAATGTAAAAGCTGGAAGTCTTTTTAATTATATGGCAATGTTACGTATTAATTTCCCCTTCATCTATTTTGACCCTTGATCTTTTATTTTGTCCTTTAGGCACACCACTGCTAGTGAGGAGGAGCAGTGATTCTGCATTTGGCCCACTTGCTGATTTCCATCCAAGTGCTTCACATCACAGTGACCATAGTCTGAAGCCTGTTCTGGCAGTAGGTATCATGTGGTTAGTGTTTTAAAGAAGAGTTAAACTTTTTTATTTTGGTACATATACCTTCTTTGTGAGCTAAACTAATTTGCCTCTGAAACAAGGATGTCATACTCATGGTGTAGAAAGGGCTGAATTGTATTTCTAATTAAATTCTGTGGGACAGAATATATATATTTTTATTGTAAATGATCATCAGTTAATAATAGTAGGCTCACTTTTACTAATGGGAGAATGACTGGGATAATAAGGGACTTTACATTTTGTGGCGCCATCATTCTGGCAACTTATAGACTAATGAAAGCAGCGTTGCATTTATTATACTTGGAATTTTCTAACACTTGGAATTCAGCAATTTTAAAGGGCTAAAAACTCTTTTTAATAATGAGGTTAGATTATGCTGAACCTGAATGTCACGTGGAATACATAAATACATCAAGTAGAAAGGACCTGGATTAGTAGGCCTGTTTACTGGAAAAATTCAGCATGTCTGACTTTACTGTATTACACCAGTTGAATATTGATGTAACTAATGAATTACAGCTTCATAACCAAGGTAACAGAGTAGAGAATTGAATGACTCATAGAAGTTATGGATGATGGCAGTGGATCTCAGTTTTGTAAATACTGCCAACTGACACAATATAATATCTCTTGTACTGGATCCTATTTAATTGTCCATTGATCCTCTTTGTGCTGCTAACTGTCCTCCAATTTTTTCCTAATATTTTTTAGTATGCAGCATATTTTATAGAGTTGTGATATTTGCAAATTTGAATAGTTTTTGGAGAGCCAGAAATCCTTCTTGCATATAATGGCCTTGTGCAGACTTGAACTTTGGCAATATCCTAGTTTAGTTGTCAGTTCTTTTTAAGCTGACTTAGAATTTCTTGTCAGATGATTGTTGCCAAAGCTTTTGTCAACTTACTCTTGTAAATTGGCATGCACAAGAGATTTTTCATTTATGCTAGCTCATTTTCTTTTGTTCGAATGCCTGAGAGAAGTTCCAAGTAGACACAGTGGTAGCTAGTACCATCTGTATCATAGGTGGTAAACAGAGAAGCTGGTAGTTTTGGCAGCTGGGTATGTGCAGAATCAGGGGTAGGCATGGGGAGATAAATATAGATTGCTTATGTCAATCTGTTACTATCAATGAAATATTTAATATCAAGGTTTAAATTGTCATCATTTTTTAGATTGAAGGTTTAATACCCCGTGGCAGATCACCTCTCAAAACTATTCTTACAGGCTGTTTGTCATTTTTTGCCTGAAGTTACTTGAGTATTAATACCACATTATCAATAGCTCACATTTGTAAGCATTCCTGTAGATGCTTCCTGAATATTTGAATATCCTGGACTATTATTCATAGTCCTTTAACTTTTTTTCCTTAAAAAAAAAAAAAATCCAGTGTAGATAAAGCCAGTCAGTACACGTGTTTATTTAAAGTTCACATTTCTCAGGTTCTGTTTCCAACCCCGAGGTCTAAAAAGATGATTCTTTATGACCAAGCAGTTAATCCTGGCACAACCACAAGGCATAACACCCTAACCTGCCACAGGTAAAGCAGGGGGGTAGTGGTGGTCAGTGACCTGCTGCTGTGATGATTGTTAAAATACACTCAAGAGATCCAAGAACAGACACAAAGGAAAGCAAAACCTCCATATACCGGTCTGATCATGGTGTAAAATTCTTTCCTGACTTAAAACCTGAGTGGAGGGGCAAGACCCTATAGCCGGAGACATCCAGGTTCAGTCCTGGCAGGAGCATTGGCACACCCAAGTAAAAATCTCCAGTCTTGGATACAGCCAAAAGCCAGTGCTTCTGAGGAAGGCAAAAACATAAACAAACAAAAGCCCTCTGACATGCAGTAACAAGAGTGGGGAAAAAATCTTTCCTGGCTCCATATAGCAACCAGCAAAGCCCAGAAGCATGGGAAATACCAAGTAGATCAAAGACATAACTAGTTCTAGATCATCCCTGACTAATGCTTATCCAACCTATTCTTGAACACCCCCAGTGATGTAGATTCCACAATTTCCCTAGGCAGTCTATTGCCTTACTGTTCTAATAGTGAAGAAGTTTTTCCTTATATCTAAACTTGCTTTGCTGGAGCTTCAAGCCATTGGTCTGTGTCCTACTTTCTGCAGCAAGAGAGAACAAATGTTTTCCCTCTTCTTTATGGCAGCTCTTCAGATATTTGGATTGTATTTATGTCTCCTCTTAAGTGCATTTTCTGCAAGCTGAACATGCCTACTTTCTGCAACCTTTCCTTATATGACCTGCCTTCCAAGCCCGATATCATTTTTGCCACTGACTTCTGGATGCTCTCTAACTTCTCCATATCCTTTTTAAAATGTGGAGCCTAAAACCGCACACTGTACTCTAGATGAAATCTGACCAGTGCTGAATAAAGAGATCCGATTGCCTCTGCTGGCACTAGATTTATGATCTAGATACCTTGTTCTAGCTGGACCCAAACCCTTAGACCCACCACAACTTCTTCCATTCAGTAATAAGCAAATTTTATTGATACATAGTGATAGCCAATAAGAATAATGCAAGTAAAGCAAACAAAATATTGCCCCCCGCTTCCTCCCAGTGCTGCATCTACCAGTCTGTCACAAAGGGAAGGTACATCTGGCCAGTATGCAAGCTTCACCCTCTGGTTCTTTCTTGAATGTCAGATGTTAGCAGCCTGGAAGCTGAGGGCACCTAATGCTCCTAATGATGTAGGCCAAAATCTTTGTCTTTTGTGCAGCTGTATCACACTACAGACTCATGTTGAAACTGATGCTACCAGAACTCTTAGTTCCTTTTCTATAGTGTTGCCATCCAGCCAAACGTTACTCAATTTATATTTGTTTTTAACTATTTCCAAGGGGCGGGGCTACATGTGCAATTAATGACTGAATATACTGCAGCTCAATTTGAGCCAGAGTAAACTAATCCTGACGTCACCATCTACATGTGCATTTAAGTGCAGTAATTTAGTCTGCTGCTAGATACCACTTGTATCTGAGGGGATTATCCAGCAGCTTGGCACATTAGTCTGCTGCACCCTAATTGCTGCACATGTGTAGACAGTGATGCTTTACTGCTCAACAAATTAGTCTGCTGTGCACTAAAGCATATCATACAGATGCACCCAAGGTGTAGCACCTTGTATTTGTCAGCATTAAATTTCATGTTGTTAGCTCCAGCCCAGCTTTCCAATATGTGAAGATCCTTCTGAACCACACTCCTATCTTTCAATATGCTTATAGTCCTTTCCAGTTTCATGATGTCCACAAATTTGCTCCAGAAGCTCTCTATTCTAGGATCCAAATAATTAATAAACACATTGAACAGTAGGGCTATGTGAAGCTTTGATTCCTGATTTGATTTGGTGGAGATTTGGCCTGATTCAGTAGCTGAATCTCCAAATGTAAATTGAATCAGAGGATGCTTTAATCTCTCTAAATTGAATCGGAACCCTCCAAATCAGTTCAGAGAGATTCGAAAAGATTCAGCGATTCGGACATGGCCACAGATTTAAATTTTTTTTTCTACATACCTAAAGGTACTAGGCGGCTCATGAATGCTGTGATGATTGGGCAGATGGAGCATCCCACAAGAGCACAGGGTGGTCCCCAGCGTGCTTGGCAGCAGACCTGGAAGTGGATCAGAAGCACTTCCG